TTTATTATATTTCTTGTCTTTATTATCTTTTAATACATTTCTTTAAATTTCTTCTTGACTTTATTTTAACTATTAAATATACACTTAACATAATATTATACTAACACTATATGTTACATAAACCTTTACTTAAAATATATACTTTACTTTATTACTTTCTTGCAACTTTTATTTCCCTGCAAACCTATCTTCTAACTACTCTAAATATACCAATACATAACACTATTGCTTTGCCTTTAACCTTGCCTATTTAATCCTTTTCCCAAACCACTCTTACCACTGCCTTATCTCTTGCCTATCTGCCTTGTCTTTCTCTATCAACTCTTGCACTACTTGCCTTGCCTCTTCTTTGTGCTGCACTGCTAATCTTACAAATATCTGCACTATCACCTTACTATATTAACATTTAACCCTTCTAACCTTCCTAAACTGCCTCTTGTCTCTGTCAATTGCCTCCTACTAATTGCATATTACCTGCAGCACTTTGCAATATAAACACTCTAAAAACTTCTTATACTGCTGCTTTGTAATTATCTCTTTAACCACCTGCTGCACCCTATCTTCTATATCTTTTCACTCCTTGCTACCTTGCATTTGACACTTCTTTGCACTATAATACTGCCTTTCCTCTCCTACCACCTAACATAATATGCAATAACCTACCTAACTTTCTAACTGCTGCTAAAACGCCTCTGCCTTCTTATACTCTCTTATTGCCTTTCTCTCTACCTGTCGCCTCTTTTGCTTTGCTATGCATTGCACTTGCAAAAACTTCTCTATCCTCTTACCTGACTGCCTTTTTACCTTTGCTACTGTCTCTCCTAACACTAACCTTGACCTTTCCTTGCACTTGCACTTGCACTTGCATATGTTGCACCTTTCTTTACTTTCCTTGCAACACATATAGCTTTCTTACCTATCTATCACCTAGTCTAATACTACTTGCTAGCACTATGACTCTTCTATAAACTCCTTTATTGCTGCCTTCAACACTAACCTATCCTTGCCCTCCTCTCTTTGCTTTACCTAACTGCCTATCCCTTCTTCTTGCTACTTCTAACTACTGCTACTTTTGCAAACTATTACTGCCTTGCTTGCTTTTCTATCCTGCCTTGCCTACCTACTCTCCTATACATAATCTTGCAACTAATGCAATGCCTTTGCATATACTACTATCTGCATATCTGCAATGTCAATGCTTATCCCTAACGCATTTGTTGTCACAATTACTTAACTACCTTTAACCTACTCTCTCAACTGCTATGTCTTGCCTTTTATTGTATCTACCTTGCTGTAAAACACTAGACATAACAACAACTCTTCCAACTATTCCACTTGCTTAACCTCTCTGCTATATACAATCACCTTCCTACTTTTATACTTCTCTAACCCTTCCTATACAACCTAGCATACCTCTTTGTCTTCCTCTTTCGCCGTCAAAACTCTCTTTACCTAGTAACCTACATTTTTCTTTGTCATTGCTAACCTAAACAAACAAACCTGCTGCCTATCTACTCTTATCTTTGCAAAAAACTTCCTAACATTTGCTAGTGCCAATATTGCTGTCAAAAACATTACCTGCACCCTTATCTTCCACAACACCTTGCCTAACTTGCCTAACTGCAGCTAGAATGTCCTATTGCTGTCTAACACTATGTAATACTTGTCTACAAAAACCTAGTCTAACTGCCTCTGCACCTACAATTAGTTAACAAATAACTAAAAACTCTTTGTTACTGCCAACTCTAGCATTACAAACATAATCAATGCTGCTTGGTTTGCCTCTTAGCTTTGCCAAACATGTAAATCAATCTTGCATAACTTGCACTGCCTATGCAAATCCTCTTGCAATGCTACTAATAGCACTACTATAATCATCACTTTTTCTAGCAAACAAAACGCTAGCAATATAAATAACATGCTTTTACCCTCTCTTATCCTTGCTACCTACATAATTAGACTCTCTCCTTAGATAATTGCCTAGATTACCTTCTCTTGCATGCTGCAAAACTATGCCTTCTTTCTTATCATAACCTTCAACTAACCTTCTATATCTACCTGCTGCAACTGCATAAACTGCTAAAACTATGCCTTCTCTTGCATGCTATTAAATATGTCTAGCTTCTATTTCCCTTCTAACCCTAACCCTGCAACTTTATTCTCCATGCCAAACCTGAAAAATCAGTGCCACTTTTAGCTAATTGCCTAGAACTAATCTTGCTATGCAACTGTCTTAAATGTCTCTTGCTACAACTTTTGCATATATATTATCCTTGCTATATGCATGCTATGTCTAGCTTGCAAATCCTAAATGCTATCTAACATGCTTTTGTTATCCTTGTCAAACTTGCTATCCTTGCCTATGTCTTTTCCAAATGCCTTGTTTAAATACTAGTTTGAAATCGCAATTGCAATATGCCTCTATATACTTATGCCAACCTATGCCTTTAGATACTGCCTGCTATGCTGCTGCATAATCTGCTGCATCTAGTCTAGTATCTACTTTTGCTTTTAGATTTATGCTGCCTGTGTAACCTTATCCTTTGCCTTTCTCTTGTCTCTAACCTTGCCTTCTTCTACTCTAACTTCTGCCTCTCCAATAGCCTTGTCCTTGCGCTTTACAATCTTGTCTGCCTACAAAAACGCACTTAGCTTGTCTGCCTCTTTGACTATCCTTTACACCTGCTGCCAAAACAGCAACACTAACTACAAATACTACACTAACAACTTGCCTACTTTGCATAGCAAGTATTAGTGTATAACCTTGACCTTGCCTATGCTATAGTAATTCTTATAATATGACACTACAAAACTTGCCATGCCTTAGTCTATCAATATATTACGCACCTTGCTATATGCCATGTTGCAATGCTATATCTCTATAATCTCCCACAACTATGCTAGCATTTTCTCTAACATATGCATCAATTGCAATAACCTTTCCTAAAACTACTTTACTGCCAACTCATACTTACGCATTGCCTTAGCCTAGTACAGCATCTTGTCACTGCTTTTTACTGCCATCTACTCCTTCTATTTGTCTACCTGCTGCAAAATTTGCTATACTATCCAACCCTAACCCTTTGCCAACCACTTGTTGCAATTGTCTTGCAAAAATGAATATCTAACCTAGTCTTTGCTATAGTTGTCCTCTATCTGCCTTTACTTAATCGCTAGCACTAACTTAAAATTATTGCCTTTTACTATTAACAGCTTGCCTAATTTGGCTCTTACCTTTCTAACCATCTTATGCAATATATCTGCCAAATCATTTGTCTCAATCTTCATCTGCTAGTATGTAATCTAATCCTTAACCTAATCAACTATCCTTGCTGCTAGCATTGTAAACTAGACCTGCATCCTATATATGCACAAATCAAATATCTAATCCATTAGGCTTGGCTTAGACTTGTCTAACATAACTGTTATAAACTGCTTAACCTTTAGCTAGGTGATTTTGAACAACCTAGTTGCTACCTTTTACACCTCTTTCGCACTTATTGTCTTCTCTAACGCTACTACCTTGTCTTGCTGCTTAACTACTAACTAATACATAACTAACAACTACGCTACCTTAATAACTGCCAAATACTTTAGCATGTAATCCTTTAGCCTATACCAACTATTATCATTGCGCAATCCTAACATTGCCAACCTGCTAATTAATGCATTCTTGTATAGCATGTGCTTATATTAATAGTTAAAAAACGCAACTATTGCATCTAAATACAACTAGTCTGCCTAGTTCTTACACTTCTACCACTTTGCCTTATCTAATAGCATTATGCCTTCTACTTGCATATGCTTTTCTACTACCTTGCAAAACTTGTCAAACAAATTACCTTGCTTTTTGGTAAATGCATATAGCAGCTAGTTTCTATTATCCTATTCCTATATCTGCTATATATAACATAATAACTTGCAATACACTGCCTTGTAATCTGCCTATGTATTTTCTTTTATCTACCTGTCAAACAGCTTTTTTTGCTTGACATATACCTTCTTTTTGTTAATCTTAAACAACATTGCATGCTTATGCTGCTTTACTACTACCTTCTTTGCCTACTCTATCACCTACTCTATGCTTTCCTACATCTACTGCAACACTACCTTGTCTTTGCCAATTAGCTTAACTATGCTATGCAACTAGGCTAGGTCTAAACTTTTCAAATGCGTTAGCTAACTAATACAGTTTAACTACTTGTTTAGCTTAGCCTTCTTGTCGCTTGCCTTAATCAACTACCTCTTTAACTTAAACTATGCTATCTAGGTTGTATAGATTTGTGTTAGCTGCTTTTCTAATGTCTTTGCATTTACCTTTGCTACTATTGCTAGCTTGCTGCCTTGGCTAACCTTAAACCACCTGCTTGCCACACGCAACTGGAAAAACTGCTAGCAATGCATGCCTATTGTCTATAGCATTGCCTACTCTTGTTTTGCCTTCTTTACCATATTGCTGCCTCTAACCTATCTACTCTTCTATCTATGCTTTTTCTTACAATAATCTCTTATCTATTATTTGCCTTGCATAACAAACCTGCACTTGTTGCATTGCAACCTGTTAGACTTAAGCAGCGCAATAAATAAGATTGGGTTAACTGTTAATGGCAAGAACCAAAATGTCTGCAACTTATCTTAGTTTTGCACAATACTCTCTAATCTCTCCACTACCTTTATAACTTTTGCTTGCTACCTTGCATTTATATAATTATGCTTTCTGCGCAAATAAGTCTTAGCCTTACCTACACAACATCTAACCTTGCATTTTATGCAAATAACAAATAGGTATTTAGGCAAGCAGTTAAATAGCTTTATAATTTCTTGCTAACTTAACAATATCTTAATGCTTTAAACTATTCTACTTAACCTTAGAATCTCAACCTCTTTCTACTTTTTTGTTTACTTTTATTATGCTACTCTTGTATCAAATAGCTGCTTTGACTAGTCGTTAGTCTTTAACCTTAGTCTGTCGCAATCTTGCTCTAACCTATCCTAACCTTAATGCTTACAATTCTAACATAGCTTTACCTTTTTGCACTTGCTGCTTGAGAAACTAAAAGTTTTATAGCTAGATTCTTCTCAATTTGCTAATTAAAAGCATACTACTTTTGTTTATTTTGGCTAAGAAAAAGTCTTTGGCAGCTACTTTCCTTTTCTCTATAGCAGCTACCCCTTGTCTTTAATTATAGGTTTGCAATTTGTATAGCGTTTTCTTTGAATAGCTACTATACAGCTTAGCTGTATTTAAAGGTAGGTGTTGTTTATTGAGATTAAAGAGATTGATAGCTATGTTGCGTAGGTTGCGGTTGATTTGCTAAAGCTTAATAGCTGCAAGGATTTTTCTAAATTATAAAATGCTGTAGGTTTTGCCTTACTTACTTTGTGATTTTATCTTTTGCTAATATAGATTAGACTTTTTGCGCTATCTAAGTTTACAAGATTAACAGTCTTTTAGGCATGCTATATTATAAATAGGTTTTTCCTAGTAATCTAGCTGCAATTAGATGCTTTTTTACTTTCCTTAAAGTTGACAGAAAGTGCTTGTTGTAGCTAATTTAACACCTAATAGCTATTTTAAACCATATCTTTGTTAAGCTTTTGACTAAAGCTTTATTAGGGTATTATTTCTACTAGTTAACAAGGCATGGTTATTAGGTTTGAGGCTTTTTTGTCTAGGCTTTTAGGCATTGCAATGTTATCTTTTGCAACAATTGTCACAAGATGTATTAGAGGTTAAAGTCTCTAATTGACAGCATAAAGGTTATAAGGCTTTTCTTTAAGTATATCTTGATTAGGAGGTTTAAGAATGACAAGTGTAGGAACTGCCTTTTCTATATAAGGTAGAGATGTAGCTATTAGGCTAATATTTACAGATTAGATGATATAAAGGCTGTGCTTAAGGCTAACAATAAGGATTTTAAAGATGGTATGACTTATAAAAGTAGTAATAGAGAGCTTTTTTTTAACAATAAGGCGGTTTGGCTAGCCTTTTGCTATTAGCGCTGTAATCTAACTAATTTCTTTTCTTCTTGCAGCAACAAGGTGCTTCTCTCCTTGTAAGATTTGACTTTTGCATTGTTTAAGTTTGTTTATTGTAATTAGGCTAATGCTATATAGCTTTTGACTAGCGAATTATTTTAAGCTAAGCGCAAATACTTTGCAGACTATAGTTTTGGGCATGCTTTAGTCTCTTCTAATAACAGTTAAAGTAAGCAAGCTAATTAGTTAGAGTTGACTAAGTTGCCTCTTAAGGTAACTTTTTTCTAAGGTATCTTCTTGTAGTTTTGTAGTTTTTGATTAGGCTTTTCTTTTCTTGCGTTTGAAATGCGATAGCTTTTGCTTGCTTTTTAATGCAAACCCTTAGCTGCCTAGATCTAGCTTAACAAGGGGTTTTCTTTGCCATTCAAGCCTCTTGGTTTTGCTTTTAGGCTTTGCAGTATTTGATTACGAAAGGAAATAAAGAAAGGTAATAGAGAGTGTAGGAAATGAAGGAAAAATCTAAAAAAAAAGGCAAAATAACAAAGGAAAAAATTGGCAGTCTTTAGGTTTGTTTTTGTCTTTAGAATCTAGGTGGTTTCTCTTTTTTTAATTCTACTACAATTTGACTTTTGCGTTTTTAATCTTGCGCTTTCTTTAACGCTTTTTTTATCCTTGTGTATAGTATAACAATCTAATCTTTGTCTTTGATCTTGTCTTTAGTATTGTCTTTAAGGCTTGCATCTAGCTAGTCTTTTTCTTTGGCTTTCTTTTTAAAGGCTTTTTGTTAAATCTTGTATGCCTTTTCTCTAGCGTTTGCATGATTAGGCTATATTTTGGCTTCTTTTTGCTTGTCTAGTTTCTAGATGCTGTTTTTGTCTTTGATAAACTTTTTAATTTGCATTGAATTAAATATTCTTGCTACTAGCATTCTATCTATTGTCTTTAGAAAGTAGGTTCTCTTTAGGCTAATCTTGGCAATCTAGTAAGGCTTTT